TTTTTTTTTTTTTTTTTTTTTTTTTTTGGCTTTTTGATCTGTTTGAAACAGAGTGCCGGTTAGTTACTTTGTAACTAGTAATTTTTTAACCAACGGCTGTTGAGTCTAGTAGAAGACGTCTATCTCTCACACAATGTGATGAGTTAAAGTTCAAATCAAAGGTTGAATCTTCGTCAGGAGAGTTGTCCACATTAGTGTCAGACAAGAGTATCTACAAAAAGGATACTTGTCCAAACAAGGACACATGTGGGAACTAAAAAGACTGATTTTTGAAAGTTTGGCATTGTCTTGGGAAATTGATTGTGTATTGTGTGATGTCAATTTTTTCTGCAAGGATGTTGGCCCATGATGTAAACTTCGTTTGTCATCCGTTTCACTCTCCTTAACCAGTGTTGGATTGAAAATTTGAAACTATAATTAGATTTAGTGTCTGCATCTGGTGAATAATAACATGATATAGATTGAATCATTTGCAAATGATGGGATCTTGAGGTGTCCTCCAGCTATATGTATTGATGTTGACATTGGTTTTATTTATTGTCAGGCATGTATATTAATAAGTTTTTGGATTTCATCAATGTATATTTCTTTCTACTCATTCTTTTAAAATTTTAGGATTTATTATTTTTTGTTGTGACTTAGGTTGCCAATGATCCATCTGGGCACAAGATTAATGCACTAGAGCAGCATATAAAAAATCTTCTCTGCCCATCCACACCCTACTTCTTCAACACCCTCTATGAACCTTACCGAGAAGGTGCAGATTTTGTTCGTGGTTACCCCTTTAGTCTCCGCGAAGGTGTACCAACTGCAGTTTCTCATGGTCTTTGGCTCAACATCCCAGACTATGATGCTCCCACTCAGCTTGTGAAGCCTCTTGAGAGGAACACCAGGTACTACTTGTACTCTTGTGATCCTTTGAAAAATTCAAAAGCATTAGCTTATATGTAATGTAAGTTTGATTGTGAATGTTGTGATTTATGCTTAAGGTATGTAGATGCTATTTTGACCATACCAAAGGGAACTTTGTTTCCCATGTGTGGAATGAACTTGGCCTTTGATCGTGATCTCATCGGAGCAGCAATGTACTTTGGTCTCATGGGTGACGGTCAGCCTATTGGACGCTACGACGACATGTGGGCTGGTTGGTGCTGCAAGGTCTGTTCTTGGCTTTTATTTTCCCAATTCTTTACAATCAATTGATACTTATATAACTGAAGTGAGATATTTTGATGATGATTGTTTAGGTAATATGTGATCACTTGGGATTGGGAATCAAGACCGGTCTACCTTATATCTTTCACAGCAAGGCCAGCAACCCTTTTGTAAACCTGAGGAAAGAGTACAAAGGCATATTCTGGCAAGAAGACATTATCCCCTTCTTCCAGAGCATTATTCTTCCAAAAGAAGCTACCACTGTTCAGAAGTGCTACGTTGAGCTAGCCAAGCAAGTCAAGGAAAAGCTTTCCAAGGTAGATCCTTACTTTGACAAGTTGGCCGATGCCATGGTCACTTGGATTGAAGCTTGGGACGAGCTTAACCCTGCTGGAGCATCTGGCAAACCAAAAGCATGAATCAGTTTTGGTTAACTGCATAACAGCCACACAACTTGGAAGTGAACCTATTTATATACTGCATTATTTTTCCTAGTATTTATTTTCAACATAGATGTTATTCTCGGCTTAAATTTGCAGCATTGTTAGCTGTAATTCTGTTTTGTTACGTCATGATTCGAGCTTAGAAACAATAAGTACACGTCATAGGGCGATGCTTTCTTTTATAATTGTATGATGGTAGAGATCACATGGAAGCATTGCGTTTCATGTGAAACAATAGGACAGATTTGATGTATGTCTTGCTTATTACTTTGAGTATAGATCCATAGTGATCAAATATTTAACTGATGTGTTCAGAAGTTTGGATTTTTCTTTGGTACTTTATCTGCCACTTCAATATTGTCCGATCATCATATACCAATTTTAAATTGAAAAATATCCAAATCTATTAAGGACTGTACCTATCATGAATCATGATATACAAATGTAAAGTCTCTTTTCATTGGATGACAAACGAATAAATTCAATTGAATGAAAACTTACAATTGGTTAGTAGAACTGCAGGAAACCTGAACAGCAATTTTAAAATCATGTATCAAACCATTTGAAATTCATATCTGGTAGAAGACATTATTCGTTTTAGTCTGAGACGAATTTTCTGTTCTTAAGTTGTGGTTGTTATCCGTGAACCTGTGATACATCTTTCTATGATCAATTGGCACTGATATTAGCATATCATTAATTTTATTACAACCTATTCTAATATTCTTGTATGTTATACGCACAACTTTGAGGAAAAAGAGAACAGACTGATTTATGATGTGCAATTGAAGTTATCTTTAGATCTAAACTTAAAATTCCACATTAATACAGAATTCTCACTAGACAACTTAAGTTAATGTGTGTGCAGATAAAATATAATAAAAACGCTGAAGTACCTGTTACGTTGTGAAAATGATGACTTGAACAATAGTCTCGGCATTTGGCAGTAGCATATTAGAGTTCACGTGACTAAACATATTTTTTAGTGTGGCTGCGATAAATAAAAAAAAAAAAAAGAGCAGCCATGTACCTTTTTGGATTTTGAAGGTTCTGATATTGGTTTTTATTTGAAAGTTGTCACTGAACATGCAGAGCTGTGATTTTGGTTTTATTAGATAGATAATAATTTGTATTTTTTTTAAAAATTTGTACTTTCTATCGTCCCAGCCAAAGTCTATTATTTAGTTAGCAATTGAAATTGTTACAAGGGAATTGTGGTGACTATGTGGTTTTATCTGGAAAATTCATGTAACTTTTTTTGTCATTGTTGAAAAAAAAAAAAAGAGTTGACAGCCTATGGGATTTTACCTAGTTGACAGTGTCACCCACTCGGTTTTGTTTGCAGAAATTGTAGTTTGCATTTGTGGTTTTTTGGGATATATATTAGTTTTTTATTTTTAGGAAGCTATTTTAACATTTGTGTAAAATAAGGCCTATAAAAGCAATTTAATCTAAAATAACAATATGCATTTTGAGACTGTTTACAAGAGAATTAGCATCGTGGTCTAACCATTTGCAATTCATTGGTGGGTTTTTTATTTCATGATGTTAACATCTTATATTGTAAAAACTAGTAAAGTATTAATTTCAAAATCATTTTACCAAACTAGTTTTGGAGAGAAGGGGCGGGGGGGGGGGGGGGGCG